CTGTAGTGTAGACATACCCTCAGTCAACTCGGCTCCCAGTCCCACATCAGCTGTGCCCTCTCCCAGCCTAACCCGTTTCTATTGCAGTTCTTCATCCCCCTCGTCCAGGCAGGGGGTTGGTGCTGCAGCACTCAAGGCACCTGCGTTAATCACTGTCTCACATACTGGGGCTATTTAGATTTCAGGAAACGATTTATCAGAGTTACTGACTCTGGGAGGTGGGAGAGAGGAGAGGCTGAGAGGGAGTTTGCTCCCCACACTCTGTAGGGCCATGTTCGACCCTGATAGCTTCCATGTTACCTCATCCTCCACCCTCCCCCATGTGTCTCTGCCCATATGTCAGAGTGTCACCTTCTGATCATAATGCCACTGGCCTCAGCAGAGCTCCCAGATGGGAGCTACATCACAATGGGGTTACGGTACTGAGAGTAAAATACATCACAGGGGGGGTGTAATTATCTTTAAGGCAAGCATTACAGTCTAGAAAGTGAAAGAATTAAAGTACTTCATTACTTAAAAGTATGCTTGAAAGGACTGGATTTTTATTAATAAATTGCAGTAAAATGTTGTTTTCAGTGTACACACAGATGAAAAAATATTTATGTAGGTAAAATACAGAAATGCTTCTGGAGAAAGTAGAGTTTGATTTAAGGATATTAACACTATATTTTGCATGTGTTATTGACAATTTGTGTTTGAACAGTTATAAAGATTTGGCTTTTTGAATCTCAACATTTACTGTAATTAAATAATTGTTGTCTGACGACCCCCATAACGTCCCACAGCTCTGAAAATTGAAATAGTAAACACTGAAAAAAGGGCTTAAAAATAAATATCGATATCCTCAATTGAAATAAAAAAAAAGAAATAGACAAAATGAATTTTGCCAAACCACTTAACAGCAATCTCAATACGATAGGGGATGGAAATTCACAGCTAAGGCACCCACCCTTAATTCTGCCCTGTAGTGACACCAGGCAATCGCCATAGGGCAACGAATAAGGCATTTTAGTGTATAAAGTCCCAGATTAGATTATACCGATTTGTAAAGACATGAGAACTTTCTCTCAGGGTATCAACTTCACTGGGTTGTTTCTTTTAGTGGTAATTCCCAGAAGTCAACAGATAAATAACATTCTCTCAGTTCTGAAATGGCCTTTTCAGATTTCTGGGGAGTGTCTATAATGTTGCACTAGGGGTCAGGTCCTCGGAGAGACGGAACCTTGGTTTCATTTTAACCTGTTCATGCTCAGCAGCTTCCGGAATTTGGTTCAAAGTATTTACATGTTTCCCTGGCCTGTTCTTAAAAGTGCTGCCATAGAAAGTGGGGAGGGGCAGGAACTCACTGCAGGATCCGTCGCTGAGTCCCTTAAATATTTATAGCTCATTGGAAAAAGGATGGGGATTGGTGGGTGTCTGGGGATTTAATAATAAACACACAAATATCATCGTTCTTAATGAATTTTCATCTTCTAATTCCCATAACCTACTAATTATCCCTGGCTGCCCCCCAGCACTCTGGGGAGGGAGTACTAGTAATCTCCTTTGGCCAGTGTGGAACCTAAAGCACAAGGATCTTTCAGTGACTGGCTCAAAGTCACCCAGAGTGAAATTCACTTCACTGGATAAATCCCTAGTTGCTGAGCTCTGCAGAGGGGTGCGGAGGTGAATTCCATTCCTGGGCATGGACACCCCCCAATCCTCACCCCGATCTCAGACACTACCCCAACCTTCCCCTGCAGTGATGGACCCACTTGATGTTGCCAGAGCCATCTGCCATGGGATCTAGAGGGGGCAGAGGCCCAGCTCCAGAATTGCTACCCCTGCCCACAGCCCCCATGCTGTGCTGGAGTTGCCCTGGCTTTCCACTCTGCAGATGGGTCTAGCTGCCTGGGGACCCAGCCCTATGCCCACCACACACAAAGGTCTTCAACACCCATCCCAGGATGGGGAAGGACAATCTGGGGCTGGCTGCAGTCTCCCCTTGATGCTGTGAGAGGAATGGGGTGGTCCCTCATATAGGACACAAACATACCCAGGGGCAGAAGGGAAATATAGTTTCTTCCAGGGGCTTGAAAATGTTTGGTTTAGAGTCCTGAGCTCTGTCTTCCTGTTTGTCTCCTTCTGCCACTTTCAGATCTCTTGGAGAGACAAGGTAGGTGAGTTAATTTTTTTTAGAACCAATTAAAAATACCTCTCTTTAATAACTTGGGACCAACATGGCTACAACAACTCTTTTCCCTTTGTACCCCCTCCCACTCTCACCTTCCCTCAGCTGAGACTGTCCCCTGTGATGGGAGAATAAGGGTTCAGTCCTGTCATTGGATTGGGTCGTGCCAGCACTGACGGGAGTGAAAGTCTGTGTGCATTAATGACAGCAGCAAAGATAGGAGTGAGCAGGTTATGTTTGTGCCGGGTGTGAGTTACTCATGTGGGAATTCTGTGCCACTGCGTACGCACAGAATTCACGTCCAGTGCAGAATTTTTTTTTATTTTTTTTTTGCATGAAGAAAATAAATTCTGCCCGAGAAGTGCTGCAGTTCTGCCTTTCACCCACCCTGTCGCACCAGAACAGGCAGCAGCCAGCTGGGTTCATCTTGGTGGGACATTGTTGCCCTGAGCTATACCCCAAATGGGAAGAGAGTTAGTGGGTGCAACTTGGAAGAGTCCTCAGACAAGTCTGCCTCTGGGGGTGGGCACAGGTCATTCTCTACTCGCAAGAGGGTGTGGCAAGGGCACAGGAGGAGCAAGTGTCCCATATGGAGGCTGCCCAGCCCCAGGTTATCCAGTCCCAGACGCTTCTTCCCCCACCATATCCCAAACCTCTTCACCCCTCCAACCATCAGTTGCCAGTCTTCTCTCACTGCTACCCCTTCCTGACTGGCAGAGAACCTCTAAGCCAGTAGCGGGTCAGGGCTCAACCCTCTACCTGAGGCATCGGGGCACTTTCTTCCTCTCTGAGGGTACCATGCCACAGGGACCCCACAAATCTACATTGCTTAGGCTTTGGCTTTAGCCCCTGGTGGTGGGGCTCAGGGCCCTGGACTTCAGCCCCATGCGCTGGGGACTTCAGCTTTCTGCCCTCGGCCTCAGCAAGTCTAATGCTGGCCTTGCTTGGGGGCCCCCTGAAACCTACTAGTGGCCCCCCAGCCGGCCCCAGACCCCTGGTTGAGAACCACTACCTTACACCATGAATCACAGCAATGTTCAGGTTACTGCCAGTCATAGAATCATAGAATATCAGGGTTGGAAGGGACCTCAGAAGGTCATCTAGTCCAACCCCCTGCAACTAGTCAGATATTAACCCAGGTAGCAACTCACAAGCATTCAATAAAGTCTAAACACATTCTTACATTATACATACATTAATGGAGATATCCTATCTCCTAGAACTGGAAGGGACCTTGAAAGGTCATCGAGTCCAGCCCCCTGCCTTCACTAGCAGGACCAAGTACTGATTTTGCCCCAGATCCCTAAGTGGCCCCCTCAAGGATTGAACTCACAACCCTGGGTTTAGCAGGCCAATGCTCAAACCACTGAGCTATCCCTCCCCTGTTTTAACAATACTAACACAGGTGAGTCAGACAGATTCCAGCTATGTGTTTGTCCATATTCAATTAAGACATGGGGGCTTTTGCAAGAGCTAACACCTCATCTGCCAGTGTCAGAGGCAGGATGGGCAGGGATAGTGTGTCTAGCCTCTCTTTGCCAGAAGCTGGGAATGGGTGACAGGGGATGGATCACTTGATGATTACCTGTTCTGTTCATTCCCTCTGAAGCACCTGGCATTGGCCACTGAGCTAGATGGACCATTGGTCTGACGCAGTGGGCCCTTATGTTCACAGTCTCTGAGGCATGTCTACTCATTTGGACTCACTGGGGAGCCACAGAAAAAAGCTAGGTATGCTGAGGCAAGAAGGCCCAGTCTCAGCGCCCTTGGGTTCACGCTTGTCAAAAGCTAAAACTAGGCCCAGCCCTTGAAAGGGGGCACTCCCAGGAGAGACCGTATAAAGGCTGGAGCAGTCTCCAAAGTTTACAAACAACTTTGTAAACCTGAGAGAGCTGCCTTGGGGACAATGACAGGGTGAATCCCCCAAAGTGACTCCTTTGATTCTGCTCTTCTCTGGCCTTTGGTTCATAGAATCATAGAACTGGAAGGGACCTCGAGAGGTCGTCTAGTCCAGTCCCCTTCACTCAAGGCAGGATTAAGTATTATCTGGACCATGCCTGAGAGGTGTTTCTCCAGCCTGCTCTTAAAAATCCCCAAGGACGGAGACTCCACAACCTCCCTAGGCAATTTATTCCAGTGCTTAACCACTCTGACAGTTAGGAAGTTTTTTCCCTAATCTCCATCCTAAACTGCCCTTGCTGCAATTTAAAGCCATTGCTTCTTATCCTATCCTTAGAGGTTAAGAAGAACAATTTTTCTCCCGCATCTTTGTAACAACCTTTTATGTACTTGAAAACTATTACCATGTCCCCTCTCAGTCTTCTCTTCTCCAGACTAAACAAACCCAATTTTTTCAATCTTCTCTCATAGGTCATGTTTTCTAGACCTTTAATCATTTTTGTTGCTGTTCTCTGGACTTTCTCCAATTTGTCTACATCTTTCCTGAAATGTGGCACCCACAACTGGACACAGTACTCCAGTTGTGGCCTAATCAGTGCGAAGTAGAGCAGAAGAATTACTTCTCGTGTCTTGCTTACAGTACTCCTGCTAATATATCCCAGAATGATGTTTTCTTTTTTTGCAACAGCGTTACACTGTTGACTCATATTTAGCTTGTGATCCACTATGACCCCCAGATCCCTTTCCACAATACTCCATCCTGGGCAGTCATTTCCCATTTTGTATGTGTGCAACTGATTGTTTCTTCCTAAGCGGTGTAGTTTGCATTTGTCCTTATTGAATTTCATCCTATTTACTTCAGACCTTTTCTCCAGTTTGTCCAGATCATTTTGAATTGTAATCCTATCCTCCAAAGCACTTGCAACCCCTCCCAGCTTGATATCCTCCGTAAACTTGATAAGTGTAACAGAGAGACTGTTGTTGGGAGGGTGTCACCATGTCTCAGAGGGTTACACCCTGGTGGGAGGGGGTGAGGCCTGTTCTGGAATAAGGTCACTCTGTGCTTTACAGTGTGGCAGAACCTAGAATGTCCATTAGCAGGGAAAAATCCTGGGGGGAATCAGCATGTGAAATGGATGAAAACCCCATCTGAATTCTCTCACATTGCCCTTCTTGTCCTGTCAGGCTACAGAATAACGTCCACGTTTGCTCCAGATCATCCCATCCCCCCGGGGGAAGGAAATGGCTGCAATGGAGCTGGCTCAGGTAAGAGATTATCACGGAGCTGGTGGTGGGCTCTGCTTGGAGGGAGAGGAGCAGTAAAGGCATAGGAAGGTGGTATCTGCTACACGTGGTGGGATGCAGGAAATAACAGGATGTGACAAACCCGCTGAGACTTGTGTAATCTAGGGTGTCATGGGTTGTCACCCCCAGGGTGCAGTCTCGGGGACTTCTGGGAACCGCTGTGCCCTCTAACCCTCAAGCTGGGCTGGTCCTTCTCACACTGCTTTGCTGGAGATTCAGTCAGCCTCTCCAGGCCCTGTTATCACCCAACACGACAGCAGGTGGTGCCATACACCCAACTAAGATACCTGAGTGCTTTACCTAAGCTACTCAAGGACAGATAGAAGACAACAGCCAGTTTCCCAGCTCCCCAACCTTGCACACTTGCTGTAGTATAAATTCAGAATTATACCATCTTATAGTGCACAGGGCTCTCTATAATGTAATCTCATTAATATAATTCACCTTCCCCTCGATATGGGAAAGATACGCACAATAAGCTTGTGCTAACCAATCTCAGATTTTCCCCAGATACTTCACTCAAAATACTTAACACTGGTTAAGATAAAGCATAAAACAAGTTTATTAACTGCAGAAAGATAGATTTTAAGTGATTATTGTTAGAAGAATAAAGGAGCAGGTTAACCCGGAGGCAGATATGAGTACAGGCTTTTTTATTGCGATACTTGTTCCCCTCGACCCAATTGTCGAGTAAGCACTGCATTAGTTACATCACACTCCTTTTATCTAAGTTAGTATGTACACGCCTACATCCATTACAACACCCCCAAAACCCTTATTAAATAATAGAAACACCCATACTGTTAGTATACCCACACCTATCTATTATTCACAGGATTACGCATGTCATACAGACATTTTTACCTTGAAAATACAGTTCTTTGCATTAATGTGTTGCTACAAATTTCCTTAATCAGCAGTTCTCAGGGGAGGGAGGAAGGGGCCATGAGCCAGGGCTTGTTTATGTAGCTGGGAAAGGAAGGGAGGGGGAGATAACATTTCTTTTACATTCTTTCACACAAAGGACATTCATTCCGACAACTAGATTTCTCATGCAGCTGCATCCTTATCAATTCTTACAAGCAACAGGGAAAGGAAAAATATGGCAACTTACTTATTAAGCAAAGAATTACTGCCTGCTTATGCCTTTGTCCCCTAATGCCATGTCAGCACATTAGCAGTTCCCAGCTCTTTTACTTAACCCTAACATATCCCAACAATTATAAGTGATAGCAAACAGATCAAAGCAGATTACTTAGCAAATAACCAAAAACTCAAACTAAGTCTAACATACTAGATGGATAGAATTTGAATTAGCAATTTCTCACCCTGACTGATGATACAAGCAGTCCACCAAGTTTCCATATACAAGCTAGAAATCCCTTTACCCTGGGACCAGCACTTCCCCCAGTTCCTCATGTCTTTGTTCCTCATGTGTTTCCAGGAGTTTGCTTGTGTGGGGAATGAGGTCAAGAGATGATGTCACACCCCACCTTATGTAGCTTTTCCACATGGCGGAACCCTTCGTTCCAAACTCAGTTCCCAGTTCAATTTGTGGAAAAATAGAGGTAACAAAATGGAGTTCAGTGTCATGTGGTCTGGTCACATGCCCTAGCATGCACTGCTGTGTCATAGTAGCCATGACTCATAGGCTGGCTGAAACATTCACAGGAAGGCTAAGCTCTTCCACGGTCCATTGTCTTTGTTGATGAGCCATCAGCGCTGTCTGGCTTCTTCACTGTTGTACCTGAAAGGCTAGTTGTGGGTGTTACCCAGAGTAAACACATTTGAAATACAGATACATAAGTCAATATTCATAACTTCAGATACAAACATGATTCATAACTTCAGATACAAATAGGATAATCCTATTTAGCAAATCATAATTTTCCCAATGATACCACACATGACGCATCTTGCACATAATGCATCATAATTATGACCTAATCCTATTATGATCATACCACTATACTGAATATGAGGTGTAGTGTCAGATAGGGCCTAATTTCAAGGCAGAAGAGTTGGGAATGGAACTGCCCCTCTTTGTGGAACAGGAAATAACCCTCCAACAAGGGCTGGGAAAACTTCCCAGACTCTGAGTGCTGGAGCCTAAATCTATTGACACTTCATAGTTACCACCACCCCCAATCTTTGTGGCAACTGCAAACTTTATCAGTGATGATTTTATATTCTCTTCTAGGTCATTGATAAGAATGTTAAATAGCACAGGGCCAAGATCCAATCCTTGCGGGAACCCGCTAGAAATAAATCCACTTGACCATGGTTCCCCATTTACAATCACAGTTTTTAATCTATTTAATGTATGCTGTGTCTATTTTGTATCGTTCTAGTTTTTTAGTCAAAATATTGTGCTGAACTAAGTCATATGCCTTACAGAAGTCTAGGTATATTACATCAATAATATTAGCTGCAACCAAAGTTTTGATCTCATCCAATAAGGATATCCAGTTAGTATGATAGGATCTATTTTCTCTAAACCTTTGTTGATGGGTACTAATTATATTACCCTCCTTTAATACTTTGTTAATAAATCCAGTATTGGCTGCTCCATTATCTTGTCCAGTATCAATGTCAGACTGACACTCTTGTAATTAGCTGGGTCATCTCTTTTACACTTTTTAAATATTGGCACAGCATTAGCTTTATTCGAGTCTTATGGAATTTCCCCAGTGTTCCAAGTCCTAATTAAAATCAACATTAACAGTCCTCCACGCTCCTCCACCAGGCCTTTTAAAACTCTTGGTTACAAGTTATCTGGACCTGCTTGTTTAAACACGTCTAATTGTAATACCTGCTGTTTAACGTCCTCGTGAGTTATTGTTGGAATGGAAAGACTGTCGGCGTCAACATCTTATGATATGAGTTACATCATCTGTTTTTCTCCAAATCCAGGAGAGAAATATTTATTGAACACTTTTACCTCTTCTGCATTATTTTTGATAATTCTGCCATTTCCATCTAGTAATTTACCACTACCATTGTTAAGATTAATTTTGTACTTAATATACTTTTAAAAACTTCCTTCTTATTTTCATTGATTGGTCATTGATTTCTTATAGCCAGTCTTCTACAATTCTGACCTTCTCACTTATATTCTTTACTATTGACTTCCCCTTTCTTCCATATATTTTATTTGGAGTGTGTTGGGATTCCTACCAGGGAGCCACCAGCAGGGTCCAGAGACAACCCCATCTCCTATATCAAGCTCTGGCTAGTAGGTATGTGAAGACCCTGCCTCCGTCTGTCAGCTGGGAGACACAAAGGTTTTCTCTTTCTACCCTCTGATGCCTCTTGGCTGCTCTAAGCAAGGTGGGGTGGGACTCTGTTAAGATGTGCCTCATGGCGCTTCCATTTACCTGGTGCTGCTGTTCCGTGAATAGCGGGATTGTAACTGGGGCAGCAGGTACTGAGTGTTGGACTCTTACTCTTTCAGGAGCCGGTGACTTTCGAGGAGGTGGCTGTGTATTTCACCAGGGAAGAGTGGGCTCTGCTGGACCTCACTCAGAGAGCCCTCTACAGGGATGTCATCCAGGAGAACTATGAAACGGTGGTCTTTCTGGGTAAGGAGTCCTGTCCCCTCAGTTATTAGAAGCTGTGGAGTCTCTAAAGAACCTGAGTAGTAATAACTTTATACCTTCATTCGTCATACAAGTTTTAACAAGTTTCCTTGCCCCCCTTTTTTTTCCTTATCTCCCACCCGTTAGAATAAGTTTGGACATGTGCCTTTTTGGTGCCGTCAGTCATTTTAAAATTGCATTTAATGTATCCTTATTGGATACATTAATAACTACAGCTTTCATGTCTTTTCCTTATTTTAAGAGGAAAATATGCCACTTGTAGAATTCTAAATGGAGTAAATAGGTCGATGACTGATGCATGGCTTGTGTAACAGTCAGATGAGCTCATCTTTTGATAGGAGAGCGTATAATGTTGCCATTCAGGACCCCACAGGTGAAGGGAGAACAGAGCCGTGCAAGGGGAAGAGAAGAGGGGGAGTAGATAATTCTGGGGTGCCAGGAAATGGTGAGAGTGTGTGCAGGGTGAGAGCTTCGAAGCAGCAGGGATAGAGGCGGTAGTGAGAGACGAGGAGGGAACACAAGAAGCCCCAAGGTGCCGGAAGGTGGTGATGGCTGAGAGTAATGGGAAGAAGGGGAGGGGAGTGTGAAGGAAGGGCACCCAGGAAGTGGGCTGGGTGGGTCAGTGGGAAGGAGGAGAAGTTTTGGGATCTACAGCTGTGGGGGATCCCAGACATTTAACCCTGAATCCCTACCCAAGTCTTATTGCTTTAGAGCCTACACTCCAGTTTTATTTCTGTTGTTTCACTTCTTTTTACATTTCCCCCCCCCAAAATATTATTATTTTAACTCTTGACCTCCCTCTCTCACTCATTACGCCCCTCCCCATATAACCTCCCCATCTCTGTGCACAGCGACCCTGGCCACCGTTCCTGCATTCCTCCCTCCCATAGCACAAATGGGCACTTTTTACACCTCTAAGATTACATATTGGGGTACAATTTGCCCTTGTACATGGCCTCTCAGGTATCAGGCCTCTAGCCAGCCCCTCTCTATGGGTAGGGACCCACATGCCTCTACTTTTTGACCAGGGTTTGAGGATTGCAGCTTGTCCTCCACTGTGTTCACTGGACTAACATCCAGTTGCTGTGCTTTGCTTTCTCTCCAAGGGCTGTGAGCAGTGTGTGTGTGCGATAGAGGCGGGAATTTTGGTGATACTTCTATGTTGCCAATACACACCTCAGTTTCCCTCTGTGATTGGTATTGCTATGATTATAAAGAGCAGGAGACATGAGGTGTTTTGTCACATAGCTGTCTTGGGGTGATATGAATGGGTCATTAAGGACAAGCTGGGACCAACCTACATCAATGGAATACCTGACAGAGACAAGGGAATAATTCTCACCTGTTCATGGGAGGATCTCAGCTTTGCTGAGTGAAGCATACAGGACTCGTTATGTTTTTGGGAGCAGGAAGAACTGGGTTTGCAGATGCAGGGAAGTGTACCGGAGCAAAGACAAATGGACAGGCAAAGTGCAAGGAAACAAAACTGTTTTTAACAGCAGCATGGCTCAAGAGCATTGGCCAATATGGACTATAGTGTCTTCTCTGCGTCTCTGTCCTAATCTAAAGACTTTCTAATGCTGTGTTTCAGTTGACTAATAAACCCTGCTGTATTTTAACAGTCTGCGCAGTGTCACAACAAAAACTTGCTGAGGTGCATTGAAGCATGAATGAGGAACAGTCTCTGAACAGGAGTGTAGTTCAGCTGGACCTGCTGGGCAGAGCTCACAGGTTGAAATAGGAGTGTTGAAGCCGGAGGCTCAGTCTCAGGTGCTGAAGCTACATGGCCTATCCTTGTGGAAGAGTGGGACCCCTTGGGGGTCTAGCGCACTCAAGGGGCACCTCCCAAGGACTGTTTAAAAGCCAGGGCATTGCACAGATCCTATGCATCCATGACAGTGTGCCAGAGGTTAAGCCTTATGGGGAAAAGATATAAAACAAGAAAAGGATCTAAATGCGTATTTACCATCACCCCCTCATCAGTCCTCTTGGGAATCCCTCATCAGTTACAAAGTGTATTAAAACCCTCCTCTAAGACTTACCTCTTGGTTATCAGGTCATGTCAGTTTTGTTAGAGGGCTTTCCCTTCACCCTCCCACTTCCCTGGTTCTTGTCACACAGACCGCAAGCAGCAAAAGACCAGAAGTCTGAAGTGCAGATAATGTGATGTTTATTCGGGTTAGTTTCCAAGCAAGCATATTCCGAAGACCTTCACACCAGTCGGGTTTATCTCTATATGCCGATAGAGTCTGTTCCACAATGTTCCATTCCCAGCTCTGATGCCACAGAGCATTTACTCCATGTCCCCCTTCCAAGCTCTGACACCACAGAGCCTTGCCTGTGTCCCTGTTCCCCATTCCCTATTCCCGTTCTCCCCTTAACAAACATGATTCCAATTTCCCTCCCCCCTCCTGTTTAACACCAGTTTATATAGTAATATTCTCAGCTATACCTTAAACAATCATTGTACTGAAATTTAACTAACCAGTCCTAACATATTGTAACATAATTCTCTAACCAATTATATCCCACTCCCCTAATTAACTTACACCTAACAAAATTATTTATACAGCATGATAGAAACAATTAGAGAACCAGACAGATTAGCAATAGAAAAGTGGGGAACATAAAGATAAAGCAATACCGAAATGAGGGTTTCACAACCACAACCATTGATAAGTGATTTCTTGCCAGACAGGATGCTATCAATTTAAGTTTTCTGTAACCATCTTAAGATCAGTTTCTTTATCTGGTGGTGATGGGCACTATCCGGACAGGATCGTCTTCCTAACAGCCCAACACCACCTTATTTCAGTGTGACTGGTTTGGGATGTGAGGATGTGACCCTACGCTTCCCAGCTTATGGCTGCCCCTGCTGCTTAGCCAAAGGCCTTAGCCTAAGAACAAGGCCTCAGACTATCCTAGTGAGAAAAGGCCCAGACACAGGCAGACTGTGATTTTGATTCTTTGTTTTTATACCCCTGTAACTAGCTAAGTGATAAAAATACAGCTAAGTTCTTAAAGTATAGGCTTTACAGGCAGGTCTGAATATATCTATATTCTAACAGTGGGTTCTACCTCTTCCCCCATTTTGTGTCTGTCTTGTCTATTTTGATTGTAAATTCTTCAGGGCATGGGCCATCTACTATTCTCTGTTTGCACTTTGCCTAGCACAATGGCGACCCAGTGTTAGTTGGTCCTTAGGCACTAAGGTAATGAATATGATTTATAATAATAATAACTCTCCTGCCACTTTGAGCCAAGGAAGCTGGCCTTGGGATGTTACTGCTTAAAAATGAGCTGGGCTTAAAACCATTTAATATTCTTTGTGAAAAGTATCCCACAAATTCCACGGACCTCCCTTGTTTTCTTTGCCTTGAGCAGGGTTTCCAGTTTCCAAACCTGAGGTGATCTCACAGCTGGAACGAGGGGAAGAGCCGTCGGTCCCAGACCTCCAGGGCTCTGAGAAAGAAGTGCTCCCGAGAGCTGCCTACACAGGTGAGGAATTGGTTAAACCAACTAAAAATCTGTCCGTGAATACACGAAACAATTGGGATGTCCTACAAAGACCTTGTGAGCTCTCCAAGTTCAGGATTGTTCCTTGCAGATATGGAATCATTAGGCAGAGGTCACTCATGGCTTCCCACCTATACTGACTGACAACTAGCAGCAGATCCCTCCCCAATGTAGCTTCCCCCAGAGTCTTCTGGTGAGATGTGGACCAAAACTGATCCCTTCCTCTCTCCTCTGGGGAAAGGTTTGGGGAAAATCAGCTCCTGATAGGTTTAATCTCTCCCGCACGTATTTTGATATGTTCATCCCTTTTTCCATTCCTGTCTCTGAGATTTCCTTTCTTTCTGGCACAGAGAGTGACCGATGTCTGGATTCTCTCTGTCTCCCATCAGGTGATGGGATGATGAGTGAGAATGAGGAGGAGAAACCCCAGCAGGAAGATGCTGAGCAAGTGGAACCACATGAAACGTTATCAGGAAGATCCAAAGGGAATGTTTCCGGGAGTTGTGCACTCCAAGAAAAAGCAAATTCTTGTGAGACTCAAGAGAGGCCAGAGGAAAACTTCAGTAGCCACTCAGATCTTATAACACGTGACAGAATCAACTTGGAAGAGACACGCTGCACATGCAATGAATGCAGGAAAAGCTTCAATCGGAGCTCTGCCCTTATCACACATGAGACAATCCACGCAGGGGAGACGCCCTACACATGCTCTGAGTGTGGGAAAAGGTTCAATAGGCGCTCAAACCTTATCAGACATCAGAGAATCCACATAGGAGAGAAACCCTACACGTGCTCTGAGTGTGGGAAACGCTTCAATCAGAGCTCACACCTTATCAGACATCAGACAATCCACACAGGTGAGAAACCTTATGGATGCTCTGAGTGTGGGAAATGCTTCATTAATAGTTCAGCCCTCATTTCACATCAGCGAATCCACACAGGAGAGAGGCCGTACACATGCTCTGA